ATGTGTCATAAGGCTATTGCCGATGAATCCCTAGTAACTAATGATTGACTTTCAAACTTTAAACGGCTGTGATTGAGCCTCCGAATTATTTTCTGAAGTACCCTACTCGTACTGTACTTATTGTACTGCAAAATGTACATTGAGCCTCACAGTACTCGTACTTGTAATTCAGAAAACGCGCGTCAAAATATTTGTTACGTCAAGTGTGATCTGTAATCATTAGAAGTATTTTTTTCTCCTCTCGTTTCGTTGAAATCCTTAAATAAAATCGACTACGTCTTTCTGATTATGGTACAGTAGTATGTACAAGTACGTACTCCAGGAATTGATGAACCGATCACTTACTCCCACGTACCGTTCGGTAGACCCCTGCCGTACGGTACAGTATTAACACATTTTCTTGTCGATGGCAAGCGTCAACGAAGAACCAGTAATACACCCAAACTAGTAGGGTATCAACCAAAAATGTACGTGTAAGCCCGAGCATTTAAGAAACTGTGAAGACGACGAATCGGAAGTTTTCGGAAGTTTCCACAAATCTAAATTCTTCTCGCAACAATTCCGATCGAAAAATTCCTGACGTCCCACATCAAATCGATTTCATGACCAATCAGAGGCCCAATAAAGATTAGCTTAATATCCTCGAAGTAAAGAAGATTATCGTTTCCATAACCAAGGAATCGAGTGCTGTGTTGTCCAACTGCAGTCTCAATATTTCTCTCTTAATTATTCTGTCTAACGTAAATAGAAAACGAAACCAAATTATAAAATGTGCTTGGAAAGTAGAACATCTGAACTCGAGGACGCTTCATTGTCGCCGCATGAGCTAGCGCTTCTTCGCATTGATAGTTTGCACTCAAAACGAGACTTTATTGGTGAGAATATTATGAGAAAAATCATAGGTTTCACTGGAGGTCTCGCGAACGAGCTCAATGGCATCCTGCACGAAGCACTTTTGGCGTCTGTGACAGATTTACCAGTATTGCTGAAGGCATTAAAAATTATCGAGAACATCACAGTCACAGATCCGACGTTATTGGAGGAAATTGATACTTCTGAGGGCTTTCGAGATTGTTTGCAAAAAATATTACACCTGCAAGAAGGTGGCGAAGACGAGAATGAACTGTTGAAGTCAATACAATCGATTGCAATGAAAATTGAAAATTCATGTTCGAAGCTTGAAACGTTAGACAAAGTAGTTCCCTTCACTGAATCTCAACTGAAGGCCCGATTGCCTCTGATCTTCGATGTACCTGGAAACAATACACCGCGTAGGGATTTGAAGGTAATGATTCATCAAGTGACATCCGAGGAAGAGACTGAAACACACGATACTGGCTACGTTATGTGGCCGGCGTCAGTTATTCTTGCGCGTTACCTTGCTGAGAATCCATCGTTATTTCTGGGTACTGCGAATAACGAGATAGGGGATATCCTCGAGTTGGGTGCAGGATGCGGGCTAGTTGGTCTCGTTGTCGCAACTTTACTCAGACAGCACAAGAAGGAGCAACGAGTCGGCTGTGAAGAGACCAAGGATGGATTTGACCATGACAGCTCGGTCTCAAATACAAGCGTGATTTTTACCGATTATCTACCAGCCATCCTTGACAATATCGAACGAAATATTTGGCTAAATGACATTGACAAAAGTAGTGTAAGGGTGGCTGGGTTGGACTTTTTCGATCAACCCGGTAATGATGATAGCAAGTACGATGGCTCTGAACAAAACTGGATCGACATGGAAGGAGCCAAACAACCCCAGGTCAGTCTTGTTCTTGGTGCCGACATTCTTCCTTACTCGAACGACGCTGTGAATGTAGCAAACACAATCTTTGCTGCCCTTGTTGAAGGTGGCAAGGCTTTTGTAATTTCTCCTCGTGAAAACAAGAGATATGGAGTATATGACTTTCCCAAAGCTTGCCGAAATGCTGGTATGGATGTCTCTATTATAACATGCGCCAAAAGTGCTGGTAGTAAATATAGTAGTGGTGAAGAAATCATGGTTGAAAATACCTCTGAAGAGGAATTGGACCATTTTATTGGGAACTATGACGTTGAATTTTTTATTTTCAAGATCGAAAAACCGTTGACTAGTTAATGGAATGCTACAAGAAAAAAGTTCTCAATAATTCAATTTTTTGTGGATAATTCAAGTTTTCTTCAAGCATCTTTGATCATGCACCTCTCCTCTCAGATTGCAGTCTTTGATTTTGCTGGCAACATCAGTCTTTTTGATTTTTGAGGAAGATTTCATCAGCAAGTGAGATTGGCTTGGTAAGATGATTATTTCAAAATGTATGCTTGCTAGTTGTGGTTTGGCATAGCTCTTGAAGGTGGTAGTATTGTGCTCTGGATATTTCTGATTTACCTATTTCCAGCTGCTTCAATGTTCCCTCAATGGCTTCTTTTCATAAGCTTTGGTTCAGAATCTTGTATTTGTGACAGAGCATTCCTTTCATGGCTACAACTTCCAACCTGCAACAATCTTGCGAATCTTTGTGCTTGTCCATTTAATGATTCTAATATTGCTCCTACCACTGATGTTTCTACAAACATCACAGCAAGGATGGTTTGTAGTACAATGCAAAAGTTGCTACTATCATGTTTCATAGTATCATATTTTCCTCACTGTCACTTATGCAAGTAAGTCAAAACTATTAGTATGGCAAGTCACCACCTTTTGCAATTGGAAAATGGATTGGTTTCAGCCTCCTGGTCTTACACACCACCCAAGCAATTACGTTTGTGTTGTGCTGTCGAGAGTTCTTACTACCAGCAGCACTTGTTGTATTACCACTACTAGTAGTAATACTAGTAGTACTAGTACTGCTACTACTAGCTACTTCGCCACAAAATTCCACAGGTGGTGGTCTGCTGTTTGTAAGAACACCTCTTCTTTTCACAAAAAACAACACTGCCAACAAATCAATGAACTCCATCATTCCTAGTAGTATTTTAGAAATTTTAGAAGCAACAACAAACAGCCACAGTTGTTATGTTTACTATTTGCTTCTGCTATTCTTTCTTATTTTCCACCTTTGCACTCTCGTTCCGTAGTTTTTGCATCGTAGTGGGTTGTACCAGTACTTGTTGATTGCGTTAGCCAACAAATTTTGATACGAGTACCATACCTAGTAGTACGATATTACTCAGTTTAATTTAGTTCGCAACAATTCCAGTACTACCTCTAATCCACTTTTGAGATAGATCGATTTCCCCGGCATTTGCAGCAGCGAAATGGTGTATAAATTCATTCCTTTTGTCAATTCGAAACGTCATGGGTGACAAGGACAGCAATGGCACGGAAGTAGCTATTCCTGTAGCTTTGAATGCAAATGCAGACGGAGACGAAGACGAAGACGAAAGTGTTAGCCGGAGCGGCTCAACGAGTATCGAGGACGATGGTATCTTTGACGACGCCGAACAGGATGATAGCGACGACGGAAATTCAATAAATCATACGACTGCAACAATAATTCAATTCGGTGCTGACAACGAAATCAGAAACGGAAGTTGCGACCGAAACGGGAAGGACACTGCGAGAGAGCAACGAAAACGAAGACGTAGGGGTGCACAACGAAAATGGTTCTACGATCGATTGTGTGAGTTTCGGAGGGCTTTGAAGCGGCGACGCAGACGAGAGCAAGAGATAGAACGGCAACGGGACCCGCAACAATTCGACGACACAGAATTTATTTCGGCGACTGGTTCGTTTCCTTCGGGAACGCATGGTTCTCACCGATTGCTCCACTCCCACCAAAGTTCAAGAAGGGATCGCCCGAACGAACGAGACGAAAACGAACAAAGACAAAAACAGCAGCAGCGGCAGCGGCAAATTGTGATGACAAACAAAGACGAAGCTGTTCGAAGCAGACCGACCGAAAATGAAAGCGAAACTATGAACGACGTTGCTACGAATCTCGACAATCTTTATGGTCAGTTTTCCGACGCAACCAATAAAGCTTTGGATACTAGAAAACAAAAAGACAGATCCACGAGCACCCGCGAAGACGAAAATCAAACAAAAACAGGTATTCAGGATGATAGCAACGACCTATCGTCATCGTTTTTCAAATTCGACGAACAAAAATTGTTCCAAGTACCAATCTTTGCACCAGGAATCAAAGAGTCCGCCTTTCAGAAAATTTATGCCGCAATGGAAGAACCTATGAAACTCCTCGAAGATCGTGGATACGACGCATATAAAGAATTCATCGAGGATTGCGACAATAGCGTTGAGAAGAACGATTCGGGTGGTAAACGACGAACCTACAGGGGGCGGATATTTCGCAACCGTAAATCGGCAAGAACCAACCACGTTCAAATCGCCAAACAGAAAGAAGAATCGATTCGAAAGAGTATGGAAGACGCTCTTGTCAATGGCGATCCTCGGGAATATCAACGACTGATCTTCGAGGTTGCTAAGAAACGAAATACAATCGTTTACCTGGGAACGGGTGCAGGCAAAACGCTGATCGCCCTGTTGTTAATCCGGGAATATTGGTCTGGGTCGTTGTCTTCGTCATCTTCCAGGGGGAAAGACGAGACAAATCAAAATGCTATACAGGGAGAAGAATCACCAAGCAAGGAAACAAACGATAGTATCGAGAACGGCACTGCTACCGTAGCTCACGAAAACAAATCCGAAAGCCCTAAAAATGGTGAAGTGACCCACTCGAAAAAAGAGAAACAGCAAACGTTGTTTTTGGTCCCATCTGTGGCGTTAGCAATCCAACAGAGCTTAACACTAAGAGCAAATTTACCGCAACTGTGCATTGAAACGGCTTGCTATGCTACTGCGAGTTCCAAACGAGCACGTGCCTCTCTGGAAAGGTGCGAAGTGATTGTGGCAACACACGGAGCGATCCAAGACTTGTTCATGCACTACGGAGACTCATTTTCTATGGATCGACTCAACTTGCTTGTGATAGATGAGTGTCATTACGCTGCCAGCGGGAATCACGCGTACCGTCATCTTATGGAGAAATTCTATCGTCCCATTCAAGCGGATCGACGTCCTCGAGTATTGGGACTGACAGCATCCCCACTCCTGAACGTCAAGGAAAACCACTCCGACGGACAGTTGACAGCCATGCTCGATTCTTTASAGTCTGTTTTGGATTCGAAAATGCTAAGTGCAGCGGGTTTGATAGCACCACATAGGAAGAAACAAAAAGAGGGATCGGAAACAACTTCTTTGACACCAATCTTACACAGCACGAACAACATTTTGCATCGAGTCATCGACGAGCGGTCAATGGACTATTACGGGACCAACCAGAATCGCACTATTCCGTCCACCGATAACCTCGATTTGCTCCCGTCTAGACATCGCGAATTCAAACAGCTCGAACATCTTTATAGGGATCTGGGGCCCCTTGTAGTATCAATTTATTCCTCTGTTCTGAAACGAGAATTATCCAGAAATATTTTTGAGAATGAGTCGACACGTCGATTTGATCTTGCCGTGGGACATCTACAGAGAATCGAAGATTTTTGCAATCGAGAGATCAAAGTTTTGCCAAACATGGGTAGAAATGATAAATTACTGGCACTGGAAGAACTCGTCGAGACGCTCATAGAAGAGAAAGGTACGAAGACTATCGGACTCGTTTTTGTGGAACGCCGGGCTACCGCAATCGCACTGCAATGTTATTTTGTATGGAGAAACGAACAAATTCATGACTGGTCTACTCAAAGAGGGGCGAAGACATGGGTGTTTGCGAAAGAAGCTCGACGGAATAGATGCAAATCAGATGATTACTTTGAAATGAATAGTTGTCGAAAGAGAGCCGACCAGGTTGTCAAAGATGACGATTGCGATGATAACCAGTTTGATGATTCGAGCGATGATCCATTTCATCAGTTCCAAAAAAGAAAGGAAGCGCGTAAAAAAACGAAAATAGTCGATATGGATTGTAAGGGCGAATTGGAAGATAGCGCCACCGATCACTTCAATGCAACGAATCAATTTATGGATGCTGACAGTTGTAGTTCGGACGCATGGAAAGATAGTCCAAAGCAAAGCTTGAAAAATGATTTCTTCGAAACCCATGGTGAGTGCAGTCTTATTCATTGACTTCACCCTTGTTTATCTTTCTTCCTGCACAAAAATTTCACAAAGTTTCAAATTCTTTGTTTGTGATTGATTAGGTCGTGTTGCTCTCAAGCCGGTGGCGTTGGTACGGAACCCCATTCATATCTTCAACTCATTGAGTATTCACCAAAAGAAACTGAAAGAAGCTGAGTTGGCAGACCTAAACAAAATTTGGGTTCATCGAGAATCGAATGTTCGGGATGTATTGAGCAGGCTGCGAAGTGGACATGTCAATATAATGTTTGCAACATCGGTCGTYGAGGAAGGAGTTGATGTGCAGTCGTGTTCACTTGTAGTCGCATTCGATGGGATCAGCAGTATCAAGGGCTATATTCAAATGAAAGGGAGAGCTCGAAAGCAAGATGCGAAATTTTACGTATTTGGGGATCCATACAAGAAGATACGATCAACACTCGAGCTTCGCGTTGCTCAAAGGATGGAATGTCGTATTGAAAAAGTTATAGAGAAGCGGATGGGCCTTTACGCTCCCACAATGCAGGCCTTATCGTCTCATCACAAAAATAGTGATTGCGCTGCGCTTCTTCATAAAGAATTTGCAGCTATTCAAGCTGGTGTGTACAAGGTCGAAGATGCCACGGTTGATCTTCAATCCGCCAAGTCGCTTGTATATCGCTATTTTCTTTCAGTTCCTCTAGATCCTTTCGTTCGTTACAAGAAAGAAAGCCTTCTTCAGTACATGCCTTTCTTCGAAAGTGACAGTCTGGTTCTACCTGTCCACCTACCAAGTGAAATTCGGACTGTGACACTACCATCGAAGTACAGTAATTCAACATGGCGGGAAAAACAAAAACTATTATGTCTAATGGCATGCGTGCGACTCCACCACCACGGGCTTCTTAATGAAAGACTACTTCCCCTTACAAGGAAGGACATGCAACAACGCGTTTTGCGCATCGCGACTCAAGACCTACAGCAGAAAGATACTGTTCCTCTCGATTTGGATGGTGTCTACAACAATGAAAAACGACAGTTGGTGATTTACCCTGTGAATGAAGAAAGTAGTCTTCTCTCAAATTACCGCCGCAAACTCAATGGAAAAGGTCACTCTTTGGGGCTAATTACAATGGAACCAATTAGAGAAATGTTGCCATTTCGTACATATCATAAAGAATTCGGAAAGGTCAGCATTTCGTTTGGAGAACCAATACTTGAATACTGTTCGAGTTCTGAGTTTGAGATCCTGCAAGAAACGTTTGCTTTACTCATGAATTCAAGATGGAGCCGAAAGAGTCGCAACGTATCTTATGAAACACGCAGTCAAGATGAATACGAGGCTACKATCCTACCATATCTAGTCGGAATTATCTCTTCAAATGGCAATTTGGATTGGGATTTTATGACGACATTGCTTGATGAAAGCAAGAGATCCATTGAAAATCGCACCCTAGCAGCTCGCAGTTTTTCATCAACCACACTGATGTCGCAACCAAGGATATGGTCGCCTACTTATAGCAACGGCATTACATATGTTGTTTTTGGCCCAACTGGCAAGCTTTGTGGTGCACCGGTTCCGTACAAGATGGACGGTGTCAAGACTTATTGTGACTACTTTCAGAAGAAGTATTCAATAGATTTTGAAAAAAATTCTCCTCTCTTCCGAGGGCACAGACTTTGGTCGCTACCTTCCGGATATATTAAAAAGCATGAAGCACACGGCGGTGTATCCGATTCAGAAAACGTCGACTATGACATGATAGATATTCCACAGCAAGCATTTGTTGAAGAGCCTTTAGCGAATGCTCACATTGTATCTTTATGTTTATTTTTGCCTCAAGTTCTTTTCAATTTTGAGCAGGAGCAAAAAACAGAAGCTTTCATAAAGCATTGCGAAGTTTGCATTCCTACTCTAGGAGCTTGTTTCAAGCAATTGGAATTTTCCATGGTCAAATTAGTAATGACATCAAAGAGCTGCAATGCCAGCGAAAATTACGACATTTATGAATGGGTCGGAGATGCTGTTCTTAAACTTCTGCAGACTGATTCAATTTTAAGTTCTCCAAAGTTGAAGCACTTCGTTAAATTTCTTCATGAAGGCGACCTATCGATGCTTCGTTCTGGTAAGTTCATAATTCTGTTTCCATTCTGTTGTTATTGTATTTTCATAACTGATCTGTGTCCTTTTTTTTCAGGAATGGGTACAAACAATAGACTGAAGCAGGTAAATCCTTGATGCGCGATCCAAAACGTGGCCCACATGTTTGTTCGCTCGAATTTTATTTCTCAATTTCATTTTCCTGCTATTATTCTAGATTTGCACACATCTGCGGCTGGACGAGTTCATCATGATGACGCCATTATCGCGGGGAGTGTGGGTGCCATCCCCGTTGCAAATTTACCAAACCACCAATAAAAGAATCGCTGAACCACTTGGAGGGCGCATGAAACTGCTTGCAGACGTTGTTGAAGCAATCTTAGGTATTGTTTACATTGAATTTGGATATCATAGAAGCATTAAGGTAGGGAATGAACTTCACGTGACGCTGCCTTGGGATGAGAATGATAGAAGTGTAGCTTGTGGCGAGATTGGGGATGTAGATAATAACTTGTTGGTGGATGTTATCAAAAAGTGCACGGGTCATGCCAAAGTCTTTGATCGTCCCAAAGTAGTTTCAGAAGCTTTCACTCATCCATCGGCAATCGATGCATCAGTTCCTTCTTACCAGCGACTGGAATGGATAGGAGATGCTGTACTATGTCTATGCACTAGGGAATGGTTGTTTAGAAATTTTGGAGACAGGCTTGAGGTTGGTGACTTGGTTATGTTAGAAGGCGCTATTGTATCAAACGAAACTCTTGGTTTCATAAGCATGAAGTGTGGCCTTCAGCAATATCTAAATCATCGTGATCTTAGCCTTCCAAAGCGAATTGAATCGTATTGCTGGAAACTAAAGGACGGATGTGGCTTTTGGGGCGGTGGTATGTTCTTATATTTACATACAGTGCGAGGCAAGGCTGAGTGCACACTTAAAGCATTCATGCTCGCTGAAAGACTAACACGTTTATTTTCTTTGAACGATCTGCATGCGCTTTTAAAACATATTTAGACCCACCGAAGCCAATTGCTGACACCGTTGAAGCCGTTCTCGGTGCAATCCACGTGTCTAGCGACTTTAAATCTGGCCAAACCGCTACATTGAAATTAATGTCACCCATTTTTTCAGTAATAAAAAAAGCATCAGACGACGGCATTGAGAGATTTGGGGAAGTTTTGAGGGCGATAAAACACCCAAAGAAGTCGTTACAAGAGATTAGTGGACAAATTTTTCAGGTTATAGTGTGTTCGGAACACGAATTTGCGTCATTCTTTGAATACGAAGATGAGATTGTGCCTACGTCAACTGCGGCCCCATTGGTACCCCAAATTTTACACAAAAACGAATGGAGGAATCCCGCACGTGGTAATGGAGAACATGAAGGATGTTATGTTTCGTTTATTTCAATGCTTGGATACCCACTTGTTGCAGTTGCCGACGAAAGTATCACCGATGCGCGCAATAGGGCATCCTCACTTATGAGAGAGGCTATCCAATGTAATCCTACGCTACAAAATCGGATAAAAAAATATCGATCCATCGTTGAAAGGAATCTGACATTAGCAGGTAAACGCCAAAATGAGATGACTGTAGCAAGAGCTAATGGATTTCACAACGAGTGAAACCGGTTTTTGGTGTAATTTTGGCTCGATACAAAAAGTGGTTTCAATTGATATGGAAGTCGCAATACCACTCATGAATAGGACTAGAAGAATCTAACGAGATTAGTGTGAAAGTCTTGCTTCCTCGCAGAATCGATCAATCTAATGATTGGACATTGCCAAATTTTATACTTTAATCATCTTGTTTTCATGTGTGATTTCATTTTGAAAGTAGAGATATCCCCGTGCTAGATGGGTCTATAGACTGCGTATACYGACCCGCACAATTTTAATCGTATTTTGAATTGATTTTGGGATGAATTTAATCTCACTTCTTCATGGATGCCTTATCATATGACCCTTGCGCTTCTTTCTTGGTTGGAACAAGAGATGACAAATTCCATGCAGTCTTCGCCCAAGTAATAGCTGCTAAATCAGCCAAAACTGATAAGGATTGAAGATCTAATTGTCCCAAAATGGATGTTACTGCTGACAGTGAAAGCGAGATGCATGATTTTCCGAATCTGTATCCAAAAACTCCGATTATTTCTTTTCCTAAAAACCTACTTTCGAAATCCAATGGGACGTAAACCATTTCGTCCAACATTCTTCGAGCAGAATATTCTGAGACTTTCATTACTAGAAGCGAGGCACTAATAGCATAAAGTGTGGGGTTCTTTTGGAATGCTTGAAAGGTCGTGAATCCCAGTGAGATTAATGGGGTGAATCTCCATAGATCCTTTGGTTCGATGTATTGCATGAGCAGAGGCAAAACAGCGAACTGCAAAGACATACTGAACACGTTGATAAGAGCATAGAAATTTCCGACCCAACCTGCACGGACGGTGTCATCAGGAATTGTGGCACCGACACTTGCAACGAAACAAACATTTAGCAGTGTAGCTAGTGACTGCGATGCTATGATCTCGCAAAACAAGGCCTTCAATACAGGTACTCGTTTGAAAAGACTCCGGGCCTTCGAAACTAAGCCTCCTTGATGGTCCGCTCCTTTCCGTCCTTTTTTCGTCAAATCCGCTTTCCTCGATCTAGGCTGCGGACAGAATCCATTCTTTTCGGCAATGGAATAAGCCTTCCCTGTTGCGAACATACTGAGTATCAACGCCAAGCCGGTGCACGCTAGGGTACCCGACAGATTGAGTCGTTCAGTCAAAAAGCTAACAGCGGTTCCACCCATGACGGATGCAATCGATGTTAGCCCCGCGATTGGTGCAAACCATTTTGCGCTTTCATTTGGTGTCAACACACTTGCCATGAAACTCCAATATTGACTTCGTTCGTCATGTCAATAGTTCAGAATGAAAAATGGCAATAATGGTGCAGGAAAATATCGTTTGTGAGGTTTGACAGTCAGAAAAAGAAGAAAAAAGCTGGTGTAATTTCCTTTCGCACTGATTCATCTTAAAATGATTGCATTGATTCACATACCTTGTCAATAGTTGGACGTATGATTCCCGAAATACAAATAGTGGACCGGACAACAACTTCACTACCGGAATTGAAGTTTTCCAGAGGACAGCATTTGTCCGTTGGGCGACTTCGATTACCGCTGATGATCCCAAAATAGCACTAGCGCAGTATAAGGTGGTTCGTTCTAATGCGCCTCTGGGTCCCCGTTTCTCTAAAATCGACCCATAGGCCAACAGAAAGCACAAACTGATTGGACTTACGAAGGCCATAGCAAAAGGGAAAGCTCCGGGACTATCAGGATATCCCGTAGCTTTCGAGGTGAATAGCGCTATGGTAATTGGTCGAGCCAGACTATAACCTGTTTGCGGGAGATAACCAGCAGTAAAATAAAAGACAATTTGAGGAAAATATGATTCAAACAGAGCTCTCCCATCTGGATTTTGTTCCGAATTTGCTATAGCATTTGCGAACCACTCACCCAGGTAATGAGATGCCATTGACAACGCCATAAATGCCACCGATTTCCCACGTGTTACGGCACTCTTGTCAACCTTTGAATTCACTGAGTTTGTTTGGCTCGATGCTTTCTTCACAGTTCCTGTCGAGGCCCCTCCTCTCAACACTGCTAACGTTTTCCTCGTCTTCGTTGTTAGCGAGGAAGAGATTGTTCGGACATCTTTTCTTGTGCGAAATTTTCCAGATATTTCTCCAAGTATATCTTCTTCCAAGTCAGGTATGGTTGTAGCTGCAAGAGCAACAGCAGCAACAATGGACCTTGTCGCTATGACGGAACTCCCCGTCGTAGTTGTTAATGCAGCGGCTGCCGTATTGGCGAGGGTTCCGACGTCTATTACTGTTGCAACCATGTCGATATTCAATTAGTACGGAATAAAAAATTGAGGTTTTGATGCGATGATGACCTGAACAATTGCCTTTCGAACGATGCTTATTTGTTGGAACTTCGTTACAATGATAGTTGATTCTATGGATACTGCTTGTATTTGAGTGGTTTTCGGAGATTGAATTTGATGTGTTAACCTTACGCCGATATTTATCTGATGGGTGATGGGTGATTGGTGATTGGTGATCTTCATCTCGGAAACAACATCCTCCACCCATAATCATGACATCATAAAAAATTCAGACATGGATACTCGTAATCACACCGTCCGACCGCCAGTCCTGTTTCATTTCAATTTTCAACAAAATCAATCTTCCCACTCTACAGGCAACAACGAACATTGGCTCCAAAACGTTTTAAATTTGACGCATACCGGTTGGATTGGTCTCCTTCGGTGCAGTGGAAGTCGAAGGTGTCAGCAGTCAGCACTGTACGAGTACTGCATGCACGATATGCATACGTACGTACTCGTACCTCTTCATGTACCTAATTTTTGCAACCCATTTCTAAACATTTTTCAACGGATTCCTGGTAGGAATTCAACATACATCTAATACTACGCGTTGCGGATCAATTGAAACTACGTTAATTAAGGCATTGGGAACGTTAAATTAACATTCCGTATGTTAGCGCTAACATTCCGAATGTTAGTGTTAACGTACTGAATGTTAAGCTAACATTCCGTACGTTAGGAACATACGCGTACGTACAATCTGGTCTAGACCTGCTGGGGGACAAGCCGGCAGGCCCAGCAGCTGTTCAGCAGCTTCCAAGATCTCTTCCTTGGGATGGTCTCCCGTAGGATTCAGTACCAGGAGCCTTGTAGAAAATCCACTGTAGATTTTGGTCAAAATAGAAGGGTTTTGATTCCGCGTTCAAAATTGTACTGTGTCCTAGTGTCTTTACCTTTACCTGTCTCCACCAGCGTGCTAATACAGCATGCTAATTTAGCGTGCTACTAAACTGTTCTTTTCATTCTAAAAAACTACTCGGTTCAAGCAACCAACCATGGGAATATACACTTCCACTCACTCTTTCTTACTTTACTACTTGGTATCAATCGATAGCTCTCTTCCATTGTTGATTGAACACCACTTGAACTGTGGAAAAAGAGCCAGTAGAAGTATTGTTTTGGTCTGATCATTGTTGCTTCTTTTTTACAACGAGACTGCTTGCTTCCAACGTTGGCAACCAGCAGTATGAGCAGGAAGGATTCAGCCGACGAGGTTGCAAAGATCAGAGCCTACCATGGCTTAACTAGACTAACACAACAAGAAAGAGCTGAGAGGCCTCACCCTTCTTCTAAGGGAGGGAGTAGAGGGTATGATGTGCATGTTAGACTGGTGGAACTGGAAAGGAGGCAGGCTGGTCTTCCTCCTGCTTTTGCTAGCAAGTCTTCAGTCAGTAGATGGGCAAACAGTAGGATCAAGCACTATAGGATGACTGGAAACAATAGCCAGACCAAACTAGTGTCTTGGGATCTCTTTGACATGGTTCTATTCATGTGGATCTACCCAACTGCAAGTTATGATGAAGCTGCAACTTTTGTCTACAACAGATCTGGCAACATATACTGCAGATCACAGATCAGTAGGAGACTGAATGGTTTAGATATGAYGCAGAAGGTCCCCTCTATGGAAGCCTATCAAGCCTTCACTCCTGAGTGTATCTGGAGGGCTGAGACCTTCTGGAATGATCCCCCTCCATGTGGAGTAGTTGGTATTCCAAGGAGGAAGTTCATTGATGTGGATGAGTTTGGGATGGATATGAAGAGGACAAATGACAGGAAGGGATGTGCCCTTGCTTGTTTCAGGGTTTGAACGCCCGGAGCCTACAAAAGAGACATGAAGCTGACCATCTTGCTTGCTGTGGAGCCAGGGGATCCGCGTTTRCCTCCAGGCTCCAGAGGAAGCATTCAATATCCAAGGAGATGGATCAAGGTGATTCAGCAAAAGGGAACCACTTCTAGGATCTTTGCTAACTTTGTGGACAGTATTTGCAAGGATATCGAGGCTAATCCAGTCCCTGGAGATACTGACAAGGAAAGGATCTTCCTGTGGGACAACCTTGGGTCTCATCTTTCCACTGAAGTTGGGTTGAAGTGGGTCTTTAGACCAGATCCAAAACCAACTAAGTTTCAAGCTATCCTGCGTCCTCCTTACCAGCCAAAGTATGGGCCTATCAAATTTAAGATCCTTGATCCAGTCTCAGCAGTATCTAGAGAGGCGCAGGCTGACTGGGGACCTAGTGAGCTTGAAGCAGCGCTTTACAKGGAGGCTGGTAGGTCTATCAAAGGTATTGATGCTACCTTTGCTCACTGTGGATACAGTTTGGATGGAAACTATGATGATTAGTTGATAGGAAGAAGCAACAACAACAGCACCTTGATGGTCTCGAGCATGTGAGCTGGATTTGAAGAGTAGCTGTAATGGGCTGGAGGAACCCCCTGGAGCGTGGCTTGCCAGCGTGGTGACTTGTCCTGGGCCTATGGAAACTGAATCCTACTGAGGAGCCTGGATTCCAGTCCCTTACAGGAGAAGCTTCCAGCTCCTTCCACGGATACTACAGATGAATCAACTAAATTGATTGAATACAGTAACAGTCGGTTGAATTGATTGACCATACTTAAGAGGAATAGTCCTTCATCTATATAGCAGTACTATTTGTATACAGTTTATCTTTAGTAAGGATCATATCTACCAAGAGTAGTTGCAATAGACTTGAGCAATACCCCAAGGACCAGCTTGCTGGCCATGCGGCTTGTCCTGGGCCTACAGTTTTATATACTCAGCGTACGCACTTAGTTTATGGTGTTTCATACCTACTAACTTTGCTAGAGGAACTGCGGCTGCTCCCACTTGCACTACCACTACTACCAAAGCTGCTCATACTATCATCACTCCTCTTCATCTTCTTATGAGCCTCACGTTCTTCCTCCAGTTTCTTCAAACGCTTTGCTTTGTTCTGTTCAAACAGCCCCTTTGTCCTTTTATCCTTTGCTGCTTCCTTAGCTGCTTCTGCTTCCTTTGCTGCTTTCTTTGCTGCTTTCTTTGCTTCCGTCGCYGCTTTCTTTGCTTCCCTTGCTGCTTTCTTCTCTTTCTTTGTTTGTATCTTTGCTACTCTGCTTGCCACGCATTTTGGTTTCTTTCTTGGAGGATGCTTGTTCCCTGCACCTGGAGGAGGCTTCTTCTTTGCTGCAACACCAGACGTCCCAGCACCAGCTGGTTGCAACCCAATAGAGGCTTCAATCCAAGCATCCAGCATTGATTCAGCTGCTGCCACTGACATCCAAGCTGGCATACAAGCTAGCAACTGAGCAACCGACATACGAGCTGGCAACTGAGCAGCCAGCATACGAGCAGCTTGCAACTGAGCAGCTGGCAACCGAGCAGTGCCAGCACCACCAGTCTCCCTTTTCCAAGTCTTAATCAAGCCCTCCATAGTTGCCCCTGCATCACCACGAAAGAGATGCCTAAAGTCCTCAATCCTAGTCAACAGTTGTTGAACCTCCTGCATATCAGCACAAGCAGAGGAGGAAGATGAAAGCAACTATTGATTTGATGTAAAGCAGACTGAGTGAGAGGGGTGTCTGCCACAGCACCAGGAGCAGTCAAACGTAAGAGCGTTTGTTGTCTCAGCTTTACATGAAAGGGAAGGGTCTCATCGTCAGTATAGGGAGTACAATGTGGATGAATGGTTCTTCTGCTAGTAGCAACAATAGGAGTGTACTGGTCCTCCTCGTCCTCCTCACTACTGCTTGAAAAAGCAGCAATATCAACAACATCCTGGCCAGCAGCAGCCCTCAGTTTAGAAGCAAGAGGGGCATGCTTTGCTGGCAACCTAGCAAGACCCCTGTCACCACCAAGATCATTCCTGTGGCCTCTATCACTGTAGTTTCTGTTGCTGTAATGCCTTGCATTCCTCCTATCACTAGCAGAAAAAGAGAATGGATGGGGTTGTTCAAATGGGACCCTACTGGACTGCTGCTGCTGCTGCTGAACAGATACCCCCATCCTCCGCCTATTGGGGGCATCCCCACTCCTAATCTGATGAATGGAAAGACCATGGGTCTTTGTAGTTAGTCCCCTAGGAACCTGCTTTTGTACAGCATTCCTGAACCCAAGATTAGACTGAAAGTGAATGTCTTTCTTCAAATGATCAGCAGCATATCCAATGGCATCCTGGTTGAATTCATCAGTCTCCAGTGGATGACAGCCTTCCCTCACAGCATCCAAAGCGCCCTGAAAGAGATGGTGGGAAACAATGTTGTTCAACTGCTCTAAAGGATTGTCAGCATAGTCATCCTGTGGCAATGGACCATTAGCCTCCCTCTTTTGATTCATTAGACACTTCCATCTCTGACTTGCATAGAAATAGATCTTGCAGCTGCAGTTGCAAAGAGGACAGTGGCAAGCCACTGGCAAGCCGTCTTCATACTCCAGATAGTCAGCACCAGGCTTGCTACATTCAGGACAGTTCCCCCCAGCAGTATCCAACTTGCAAGAGATCTGACAACAGAAACAAGCCATCCTCACATCCATTTGATCATTATTCCTTGGACGCCCTCGCAGTTTACTGTTCTCAGCATCATAAGCTGCAACAGCCTCCTCATGCTTCTTCCGCTGCTTCTCATTATACTCCTCAACCTCCCTCAAATCATCAACTGGCATAATAGAGTAGTGTTTGCAAACAAGATAGGGACACTGATCAAGTAGCGCTGGATCAAACTCACAATCATCCTGTACCCTGGGCCCTCTCTCCTGGTAATACTAGATCTTGCCTTTGTTCTTTCCTTTGGTAGCTTTAGACCGGTCACTTTCATCTTGATCCTTCATTGCCTTCTTTACTGCTTTGGCAGCATCCTCAAGCACATCTGCAGCTGCACGTGTCCTTCTGCTTGGCCTTTTCTGTTGGTTGCTCCTCCCCTTCCTAATCTCCGTGCCTGTAAAGAAGAGGGCAAGCATTGTGGCTGTATAGGCCTGGGTCCATTCAATTCTCCTCTTGTGATGCGTGTTCCCTGTTGTGCTTATACGATAATACACCCTTTGCATCTCAAGGGACAAGGGGTTGCTGTCCCCCTCAGGAAAGACAGCTATGATAAGATCATGGCTGAGCTTCTCCCTGATTCGAACCAGCAAGGCTCTCTTTTCTTTCAGTGGAAGGTACTTCCTCTTGGCCAGTGTAGCCTGTGCTGTCTTGAACAAAGGATGGGATGCTGCTGGTCTTGTCACTGGAGCAGCTGGCGCTGGTGCGGGCGCGGCTGGAGGAGAAGCAGGGACAACAGCTTCCTCTTGATGAAAATCCTCCACAGATGAATCATCTGAGAGTAATCCATCAGCATGGCCTCCTAGAGATCTATTCAGCTGTATGAGACCATCCCTGGCTTCTCTCTCCTGTTTATWCATCCTATCTGCTGGATCGGTGCTCATACTGCTGGTTGCCGACGTTGGAAGCAAGCAGTCTTGTTGTAAAAAAGAAGCAACACTAATCAGACCAAAACAATACTTCTACTGGCTCTWTTTCCACAGTTCAAGCGGTGTTCAATCGACAATGGAAGCGAGCTATCGATTGATACCAAGTAAAGTAAGAAAGAGTGAGTGAAAGTGATCAAAATTGACCAATTCCCATGGTYGGTTGCTTGAACCGAGTAGTTTTTTAGAATGAAAGAACAGTTTTCTGAGCAGCGTGCTGGAGGGAAGTTTTCAGGTCCACAACAGTAGGACACAGTACAATCTTGTACCCGCAGACAAACCCTTCTATTTTGACCAAAATCTGCAGTCAACTACCTTGATCCACGGTATTTCTACAGCAATTTGTGTACAGTCTTGTACTAGGATATGATCTGATTTTAGATGGCTCAGCTGCTCTGGTGTGAACAGAGTATCACTGGGGTATCTATCATCCTCTCCTTGCCATCCATGATCCTCCTGCTGGCCCTCCACTTGATCCATCAGCTGAAGGAGCACTCCATGGTACGCACTCCTCTGTCCTGACTTGTTTACACACTGCGTGGTGGTGAAGGCATCATGCAACCGCCCCATCTCTTCCTTGCCCACAGAGCACACCTTCTTCCTTCCTCATTATCTCTTACAGTACTAGTCACCATGCTGCACTTCTTGTTGCTTGCTTGATTATGTAGTACTAGTGGTGGGAGGCTTTGATTTTGTGAGCAGTTTCCATATTACAGCAGTTTTAAGCAGAGTACAATGTGTCTTTCCATACTTTAGTTGCAGGAGTCAGGAGTGGGCTACTATGTCAAAATTCAACATATGAGGAGTGCAACGGAAGAATCTTCTCTGGTGACAACAGCAGAGGTGCTAGTAAGGTTGCACAGTACTATTCTACACAAATTTCTACATAAATTTTGAGTACAATGGTAAATGTATTGGTATGAAACACCATAGAGCTGTGTACAATTCAGTACCAGGAATCAGTACGTTGCAACATCGGTTGCAAAAAATAAAAATAGATACCGGTACCGTTTTCAAGCAATTGTTACTAGTAACCGTTGAGCAGCTCAACATTTCCATGTACTCAGCRCGCGTGGTATTTTTTAGGTACACGATTTGTTGAGCAGCTYGCGCCGTACAAACACTAGTTATTTTTTGCCTAAGTACATGCACCTCAACAGGTTACAAACCGCGCGGACTGAATTTTGTAACCAAACCCTTCCTTAAGGAGAGCCCAAATTTTTACACGATACTACTGCTAGTCTGGTTACCAAAAAAAAGGGTCTGGTTACAAAAACAGGCRCACTGGTGCGCACTGCGCGCTTGTAACCAGGCAAATGCACCTCAACAGGTACAAACTAAATAACTGTCTTCAGTACTGTAAATACGTAGTATCAGTAATTGTACACAGTATCTTGTACGATTAGTACTTAAAAATGTGAGCAGTTCTCAGTTGAAAACTGATCTTGATTGCTATTCCAGTACAAACTGGTGTAGAAAACACCGTAGAAATAATTGACAAGCAAAAAAACAAGCAAATGCTGGTGTTGTATCAGTGGCTCTCTCCTCTGTATCGTATCAGCGGCTCGCTCCTCCATATCGTATCAGCAACTCGTATCGTATTAGGGGCTCGCTCCTCCTCCGTATCGTATCAGCGGCTCGCTCCTCCGTATTGTATCAGCGGCTCGCTCCTCCGTGTCGTATCAGCAGTTCCTCCGTCCTCCGTATCATATCAGCGGCTCCTCCGTCTTCCGTATCGTATCAGCGGCTCCTCGGCCGTATCGTATCAGCGGTTGCTGGCTGAGTACATGGAAATGTTGAACTGCTTCAACGGTTACGTAAATAACTGTGGAAGAGCTCTGCTTTCAGCGCTACAAGTACTATCTTCAACACCAACAAGCTCTCGAGCTAAAGCTCTCGAGCTTGTTGGTGTTGAAGATAATACTTGCAGTAACGTCACTTCGATCTCGAGCTAAAGCTCTCGATCTCAGTGACGTTACTGGTGTACCGAAATCGTACCAGAAAATGTACTCTGTTGAGGTCCGTGTTATTTGTGTGGGAAGAGTTTTTGTACCGTGGGTTCAAGCCCCAAAGCTCTTGAACCCACGGTACAAAAACTCTTCCCACACAAATAACACGGACCTCAACAGAGTACATTTTCTGGTACGATTTCGGTACACGCGCTGCGCGAGCTCCTCCACAATTATATTACATACTACCGGTATTACGACTGAACTTCTTATCTCAATCGCGGAAATTCAATCCGTGACTTTGACGATCAACCCGACGTCACGGATCAATAAGCTCTCAAAATAAGCCTCGATGTCTCTTTGATCGCTGCATTTCCAATAATAGAGCAACAGACAAGTTTTCAGGCAAGTCGGAGTATAATTTCAATAATTCAATGTGTTCAAGGGATAAGTGAACGTTGTGCTCACGTTCATTCCGGAAGATGCCTCCCATCTCAATTATGAATTCTTCGGGAGGTTTCCGCAGGGTGGAATATGAAAGCAAGGATGAAAATGCGTTGAGATGTAAATTTCTCCAATTGTTCAATGAGGGGCCATCAGAGATTTTGTGTTCACTTACGGCGATAAAACCAGAAAGCGGAATGGAAAAGTTGCCAGGTCCTCCGCCGATACCGGCTTCTTTGGCTGCACTAGATGATTGGTCCAGTGGATCAGAGGAAGAGCACCGGCGTAAAAACGAGCAAACCCCACTCATTCGACATACATCGCGTAAATCAGGGTCAAGGAAGAATGCTTTTCGCAAACCCGACGGTTTTACAGAGCTCTCTACAATTTCGGATTGTAAAACACACTCACAGAGTTCATGGAGTGACGGCGAGAAAAGGATCGGCGACGACGATGATAGAAGTATCTCTACCTATTCTACAACTGGAGAATCAGTTGCCTCTTTGAAGTCTTTAGCAACCGTCTCTCTTGAAAATTTCAGGGAAGGGCTTTCAATTCCATTTACTGACGAAGAAGGATCATACCAAAAAATAGCGAGAGGTCTCGGGTCACTAAGTGTTTTGGTAAGTTTGAATGCAACCCAATTCCACCACCGCACAACTAGAGATCGATTGTCCCCTTTCTGACTATATTTTTTCGAACGAATAGGGCACCATTATTGGACTGACGATGCCAAAAAACCAATACCTCAATGGTCGGTGGTATCCTTGGTATCGTGTGATTAGTTCTGTGATTGGTTACAACTATTTTGTTTTATGGAGCATTTGTTTCTACCCACAAGTTCTTTTGAACTACCGTCGCAAGTCAACAAAGGGTTTGAGCAACGACTTCGCGATTCTCAATCTTATGGGTTGGAGCTTTTATTCGGCATATCTGATCTCGATGTATTTTGACGACGAAATCAAGATAATGTACCAACAACGCTTCAACAACGAGTCTTCGACAGTTCAAAGCAACGATGTTGCCTTTTCGGTCCATGCTATGGTTTTGAGTTTTATCTACGTGGTTCAGATCATATATTACGGCGATTCATGGTGTTCGTTTCGTTTGAAACCACTCACGTGGCTCCTGGTACTTGCCATGGGGTTTCCAAGCGCACTGGTTCCTTGCTTGATCAAACTTGGCTATCTCCCCTATTCTACGTGGCTCGACTATTTTTATGCGCTATCTTTTTTCAAAATTTGCTGCACGCTGACAAAGTATTCGAAACAAGTAATGTTGAATTGGAAACGCAAATCGACATCGGGCTGGAATATATGGTACAATTTCCTCGAATGCAGCGGAGGCTCGCTGAGTATGCTTCAGATTACTCTGGACTCTGCTGACATGAGAGACATGACGGGAATCACCGGTAATATTGCTAAATTCGCCCTCGGTTTCGCTACAATATTCTTTGATGTAAGTTCAGTTGTGGATTTGACCTCCGCTGYGACGCTGTAAAGAGAACGATATAGTAGGCTGACGTCTTCGTCGTTTCTACTCGAAAGGCGATTTTCTTTTCGCAACACTACATTTTGTATCCAAACAAGAGAGCCGGGACCCAAGAAGAAGGAGTTCCGATTCTGATCAAAACGCCTAGCATAGTCCGCACACGGAGCCGACTCGATCTGTCTGAACTGAACGGCGTTGATGTCGAGGCGTGAGAAAAATACAGAGGTGGTGCGGCCTGAAATGACAATCGTTTTGCATCGCAATAGGAGACAAGACATCAATGTAGAGGATACGAGCAAAGCAATTCATCCATTGTTGCTGGTAGCTCAATTTAGTCTTCGACCACGTACATTTCAATCATAGTTAGCGCCTGCCTGTACTAGCAAACCACTTCAATCATGTATGGTGGTAGCCCAATTTGTCTCCAGGCATGCACGTTCCAATGATAAAACGGAGGAACTTGAGTTCTTGTAATAGGTCTTTTTGASGTTCACCTCGAGTTCCAAGTAAACCAACAATACTAGCCTARATATCATTAGCCATTTGTGGTGATGATTTTTTCTCATGGATCGTGATAAATCTGGTTCAAGATAGAATAATAATATATCATAGCCAACACTAGCACAGTACGGTATAGTAGCACGTACTTCTTGGAATAGAAACAATACGTACAAATAATAAAGTACTTCCTCCATCCAAGAATAACAGTCCCCCAACAAGCTTACTACTGAAATAAGGTCAATATATGGCTYATTTGGATGGTTCTTTTTCTTCTATTTGTCTTATTTAATACTTTTCAATTGTATTATTCTGTTAATTGTTGGACAAGCAGTAATAAAGTTATAAGCCTTCAAACAGAGCCTCTAAATCATGCCATTTTGATTTTACAAGTTGCAAGGGTTCCAACAGTCATTTTGATGTGCTGCTAGCACATGCACATGATAGCTAAGATAGAGTTGTTTTTGAGGCAATACTTCAAATTTGTATAGCTTCCTTTCTTATATTGGTCATTTCTATTCAAAAGAGGTGCACCAAACAATTGTCAAAATTGTGTTTGATGTGTTAATAGGGTGTATTTTCATGTGTTAAAAATTAATTTTTTAATCACATGCATGCACATTCTTAGTCCGTAGTACTTTTTGCACATATTCTACACAGTCATATTGTACTGCTGGGGGTCAAATCAAAATATTGAAGAGTGTTAACTAAGTAAGGGGACTATCATATTTGGACAGCAAAATCTTAGTCAATGGACAGTCATTGTTGGATGGAGGAAGTAATACAGTATTTCTACTTCCTCTGGTCCCCTATGAGTGTCCAGTTTGCACCTTTTCTACTGAAATAAGCTCAATATTTGGGGTTTTTGACTGCTTCTTTTTTATTATGTTGATCTTGTTTAATACTATTTGAACACTTTATGCCTTTTAATGTTGTGCCAGCAGCAATAAAGGAAAAAGCCTTTAAAACAGGCCTATTCTTTCATATCAATATGATAATACAGTCAGTTGGGTTCTAATGGTCATTTTAATATGCGCCACTACTTGCACATGATAGCTAAGAGTGCCATTTTGTACTGGTATTACTATGTAGTCTTACTGTACATGGGTACAGTAGCTTAAAGTGTCTGGTAGTGCATCATTTGTCCCAGCCATCAGCCATCAGCCAT